TATGTATCTTTTCAAATCCTATAAAGAACTAGAATCTTCTTTAGACAAAGTTAGTGCTGTGTAAATCTGGCGTCTCGTTTTGAATTTTCTCTGCTTTAATGCCGTAACTATTTATTTATCCTATCCTAGAACTGTAAAACTATTGAAAATAAACTCAGAACTCTCAATATTTAATGAGTTTTCAAGTGAGACGTCAGCTTCACACACTGTTATGCATCGTATCGGTGATTGATTAATCAAAGCTATAAAATTCAATGCGCACGCGGCGAAAGTATCGAAGTTATTTTAATTTTCAAATGGTAAGAGCGCGATTAAAATTAGCTTATTATTAATTTGTATTGAACTTGAATTTAAGTCCATAATTGCATTTAAACATATATTGATTGTAATAAATTATTAGAGAATTTACATTAGATATATTTAATAATTTTTACTGTTTACTCGAATTGATTTTTCTAGACATTAATTCTGTAGATATTATAACAAGGAAAAAAGAAACTAATAAAATAAAATTGTAACAAGTAAAATGATGACATTATTCAAGTGTAAAATTTTTATTCAAATTTTTTTGTGATGTTCATATCTCCACTTGGCTGATGAAGATCGAAATAAAATATGTAGATATAATTCGTATTATAAAAATAAATTAATATTATGGAACAGAGGAAAATTATAATCTCGTTTAATTCATTCATCTATTGTTAATTTGGTTTTATATCATTTGAAATATTTATATACAGATCAATTTATTTTATAAAATGTGAAAAGAGTAATAAAAAAAGTTTGTTGTACTACATTGCTCTAGGTTTTTATAAATGGGTTATCTATGTAATACATATTTAAAATTTACTTAATGAGTTATCAATATCATGTAATTGTTATAGAGCACATAATATATGAACGTAAGATAGAAAAATTTTTTGTAGAAATAAATGATGAATTTATAAAATGGTAAATCATACGTCTGTAAAAGCAGTTATGGACCTTACTTGCAAACTTTATACGTGATATCATTAGCTAACTTTGATCGTTTATAACTTGAAAATTATCGTGACCTCAATGTTTTCATATTAAGATTTTCATATTTCAAGGATTTCAACTATCATTAATTCTCAGAATATACATGTATTAATTACATAAATAAGATGCATCACCAAAATTCGGACAAATTTCAATTTAAATTTTCCGCTATATTGTGCCTCCGTCAGAGGTTGTTGTTGGCATTCGAGAAAGCCTGATGCTTCTAGTAAACAGTCATATTCTCAAAATTGCTGCGATGTTGAAATTAAATACGGAATATAATTGAAGAGTTGCGATCATCGAAGGCCTTCGCGCTAGGCGCTCAGCAACGGAAATAATTCTTTGGATACCTGAGATAAATCATTTATTTGTGGCAAAATATACGGCTTTAGAAGAGTCCAACGAAGGTTCCAGTATGTCAGCGAGAAAGAGTCACTCGAAAGAACGTACCGCGAGGTCGTTGAAAGAGCTCAAGCGCTGATTTCGGATGACCCAGAACAATCGTTGCAAAAATTAGCATCTATTGTTGGTGTACGCGAGCCAACAATCGAATTGCCGAGAAGGATTTTCGATACAAATCGTACACATTAAAGATGCTCTCTGAGACTGCCAGGACAAGCCAAGTTGCTCGCCTCGACTCCCATTTTGGCCTTCTAACAGTCCAGATTTAAATTCTTTGGACTATTACACATGGAGCATAATTGAAAAGGTCACAAACAAATCTCGGCATCCTAATGTGACGTCCGTAAGGACCGCTATTGAAGCAGGTCGGCATGGGTAGCGCTACGTGCGTGTGAACGCTTCAGACTGAGAATAGAATCATTCAAATTAGTGAAGGATATCGAATAATTGTGCTCTACAGGGATCTCCCAAGTGTCATAAAAAAGATTTTTCGTAATATTTAATTTTTCATTAAAACTATTTTGTTTGAAGAAATTGTTCCGGATTTTGGTGACGCATCCTGTACATGATAGTGAAGCCTCTTGTACAAAGAAATCAGTATATATACCCAACACTAAATTATTTATGTTATATATGAATTATGTGTATGTGAATATTAATTTCTTGATTGCATTAATTAAATTATTGAAAATTTTTTTTTATAATTTCCGATAATTTATTTTTAATTATGATAAAAGTCCGATGGAAGTTATCTCGGTGATAGTCGATAAATAATTATAAAGTCGAGGTCTCATAGGGCATTTCCCTGCGAAATATATTTGAGAGTACAACTATAATAAGACGCAAGATCATATATATATATATATATATATATATATATACGTAATATCATAATAAAGTAATAAATTTGTGTTTAAATTGGTACAAACAAATGAGGATTATACGACTTCTACAAATGCATAATATCGTTATTGATAATCAATGTCGGTTGCATCATAACCAATCTGACTACGTTTTGCGATAAATTGCATTTATAGCTCGGGGGTGACTTCGGTTGGCTTTTCCGTTCAATATTAATAAACAAAACGAAAGAGAATATTACTTTCGTCGCGTACAATATACATTCTGTGACCATCAATTAACTTTTCTTTTTGAAGTAAATTACATTTTTTATATATATCAATTCCTATAAAAGAAAAATGACGAAAAATGATTATATATACAAAAAATTACAGTTATTTATATACGTATAATTAGTTCCGTTTTGGAAAGTAATTTTGATTTTTAATTTTTATAAGAATTTTAAAGAAAGCGCTAATTATAATTGTTATAATTAGATTAATTATATTTTAATTAAAATAGTATAGTATTTATTATTAAAACTACGTACATTATTAAATTGAACTTTAACAAGCCATTTAATTATATAAATTTTATCTTGAATTGGTAATATTAATATGATGATCATTTGTTATTTTATGATCTCTTAAATGAGAGATTTTATTTCGGATTCGAAAATTTTATTTCTACATAAACATTTTATTTCTACGTAAGAAAGTGGTTTAAAACTTGCCTATAAATTCTTTTTAAACTTTTATTCCCGTGCAATTGGGACAAACGGTGTTAACAGTAATTCACAGTTTGCACTTTGCCGCGCGTGTGTATTAAGAATAAAATGTAAGTAATTTTATTAGGGCTAATTGAAGAAACTTGAAAAATGTTGTCAGGGCGATATGGAGAAAGTGGAAAGTCGTGTTTTCAACGGATGAGTTTCCTTCTAAAGGCATAGCAGGACATTTTCGTTCTATTATCGCGTAAATGTCATATGGAATTGTCAAATGTCACGGAGTAAGTCTGGCGATTTTTCCGAGTGTCGAGTAAGGACGACATCGTGAGAAGAAGACTCGCGATCTTCATGCAATCCTCCGCTCCGAGTTCTCCATCGTAAAAGTTAAAGAGAGAAATGGAGCGAGAAGGTGCATGTTAGAGGGACAGACGAGAAATCTCGTAAGGGCATGAAGGGGCACTGCTGGAAGGCACAGAAGAACGATCCGAGTTCGTGTTATAAAAGAGAGTGGTAAAAGGCTGGATGGATCTAGTCACAAGACCTTTCATAAAGTCAGAGGAAAGTAAGAGCGTCCCGAGAGGAAAGGTCAATACTTTGGTAAGTGACAGTATTGGTCATTGCAATGGAAAAGTTTTTGTGAACTGTGTTGCATGTAAATTGCAAAATGCAAGGTAGTGCATTTTAAGTTGGAAAAAATTTATTATAATTTTTAGAATGTTATTTTTTAGCATTTATAATATTACCACTGTAATTTGTTTTATTTTCTTTTCATATCAGATTTTACATTTCACAAATGATTTAAAATCGAGCAAGTATTTAAAAGAACATTTAAAAGAGCATTACTCATAATAATCAATATTCAGTACAAATAATAATAATCAATACAACAGTCATTATCTAAATTCTAAAGTATGAACTCTCTTTCTTCTTGAGTATTATTTTTATTATATACTCGCGTAGACTTACTCTCGACAACTATCTGACAGCAGTGCGCATTCATGTTACGAGAAAATTGATCGTTGCATATCATTCTGTCATCATGATACTTTATAATTTTCTACGCAGATATTTGCTTTCTTTTCTTCAAGGAAAAAATAGTAATATATATGCGATAGAATAATGTCATTTTTAAAATTCAATGATATATAGACATGTCATATGATCGTAATTTCTCTAAGATGGAACATGCTTGACGCAAATGCGTCTGCTGAATATATATTTACTTATGCGATCTTCTCTCATCATCCAGAAGAAGACGTTTACTATCTATTCTATAGCTTTGAGTTTATCGGAGAGCTTCGCCTCTGGGTGACATCTCGAAGGAAACTTGAATTAAAACTTGAAGAGAAAGTATTAGGTAGCTGGGTTTAACGAATTGATTCGAACTTTGGAATTTTCGGACTTATGAACCATAAGTTTATGAGATAGATATTTTCGTTTATCTCGTGTCGAACAAAAGTGTTTTTAGAAGATACGAGAGAAAAAAAATACGAAAGAGCCACTACATCATTTATTGTAAGATTATTGCGAGGATGTGGCATCTATTGAATTAATAAAAACGCTTTGGAAGTGAATATTATTTATTTACTGCTTTTTATTTAGTGACTGCTTTCTTCTCTTTCTGTCTTTTTCCCTCTTTTATTTGGAATTATTTCATATCCACTGTATTTATATTTTTCATTAATATATACATGACATCAATATTCTATGTTTCAATAAAGATAACTAACTAAATTTTCTTTAATTAATTTCCTTTTTAATATTTCTCAACTGATTTGATTAACTCATCCAAATTTGAATCAATTCAATAACGGAATCCAAAATGCGAGTGTATAAAAAGAAAGAAAAAAAGGATAATTCTTTGATTTTAAAGTCCATTTAAACGCAGTAAAAGTCCAAAAACGCAGTAAAAAGCGCGACTTTTCATTGTCGGAAGTTCACAAAAAACAAAGTAAAAAGTTCGAGTAAGTGGAAAAACAAAACGAAAAAGGTCGGAGTGGAGGAAACGTACCTGTATTTCTGAGTGTCCATTTCCCTTCGTTCTTCGGCTATGGCTTCATTTAGGTCCCTGTTCGGATCGATTCCTCTGGGAGCCTCGCTGTTCGCTTGCAGATTGTCATTGCTGACGAATTCCACCTCGACTTCGTCTTCGTGATACGATTCGGTCAGGGTGTACTCGCGCAGCTGAAACAGCAACACAGCGAGAACGCTTTCAATCAGAAGTTCGATACCGAATAAAAAAAGAACATATATATGTCACCAGTTTTCTGCACTGCAAAATATTGAGAAACATGCATATTCATGAAGGGAAATAAACGTGCTCTTCGAGAATTCATAAACGTTTCATTTCGTTTCACTTGACCTGCATGTGCACGGTATGTGGATTATGTTCGAGGGATGATAATACACTTTGCGCTTTTAAACACCGGTAAGCGGATTTAAGAGGAACACTTCATTTCCGAATATCTGTGATATTTATTACAGTATACATATATAAAGTCCGAAGCTTTTCCGATTTTATAAATTATAAAAATTATTTTATACGTTTTCACATATTTGTCCCATTCTCAGGCATAGATATACATAACTCTTGTCGGAATTGAATTAATTAACTTAATTAAGTGCAATTTTTTAAAGATAAACATTACTGTATTTGTGCTTTAAACTAATAAGAAACATCGTAATTTTTATATACAGAAATGGTTCGGATGCACTTTCATCTACAGATTCTTTCAGCAATTTGAAGTGGACTTAATAAAAAATTAAAAACAGGTCTTAAGAACTTCCAAGATTTAATAAGAGATACAACAGGAGGCATAAGAATGTACATCCTGTTCTATTTAAAGATTAAACATTGACCGACCTTCTTCCTTTCCTTTTAAAAGTAACTGAATTTTTCATCGCCATAAACCGAAAGCCCTTCCTTTCCTTTACGATGAATTTTAATAAATGGGAATACAGATATTTGTAATAGTTATCCAGAATTAGACTGAGAATCTTTTTCGACTAAAAATATCTTGACAAAAACACATAATATATAATTTTATAGAATATTTTTAATAACTATAATAATTATTTTTAAAAATAAATTATATGCATGCATTTTATAAAATATTCAATTTATAGTTTTTTCTAGTAAGACAAATACAACCAATTAGGTGAAAACGTATTAAGCAACATTGTCTCGACTTTCTTTCTAAGCATCGTACGGAATGATTGGTGGTAAGGTGCTTTTGTTGCAGTAACGTTACGATTAATCACCCCCAGTGGCCAGCGGGGTACGACCGAATTAAAGCCAATGAGACTTTATGGTGCTTTGCCGGGCAACACTCCACCGTTTTTCTCCGTTTGCCCTTTAGTCTCCAACTCGTTTTTATTTTTCGCTGGAATTTTCGGAACGACGAACTCCTGCACTTAATTCACTGCAGAAAAACGGCATTTTGCAGGCGTGTGAATAGACTGTTTTGTATTTAACTAAAATTTACTGAAATACATTAAGCTTTCGATTAACCTTTCGATTATTTTGTATTTAACCATAACATTAATTGAAATACAACATTAATAAAAGGAAACTACATATTCTGCTAACGAGCACTTTGGGACATTTTTATTCACGTTTCTGTTAATATCGGTCATTTGTTCTTAATGGAGTTTATCATCAGGTTTGTTTTATAAAGATAAATTAATAATATATCGATTTTCTTTTGATTAATAAAAGTTATAACAGTAATAAGTATAGAATAAAAAATAACAAATCTTTTATTTTGTGTGGATATCAAAGAAGTGTGTATCGAATGGATATTAAAAGAATTTATAATCTAGTTGCTTTTTAAATGATATTCATTTTAATCATTGGACATATTTTATTCGATAGATAAATATTTTATTGAATTTATGTTACCAAGAACAATTATATCGTTTTTTTATTTGACAATTTTTTTATAAAATTCTAAAATATGTACATACTTACTTTTTGATGTATCTTTTTCTTGAGATACTATATAATAATATTCTTAATGTTCATATAAAATAATCGAACGAATAAATAAATAATATTTTTTTTTTCATATTCATTTTGCCGAGGTCGTTGTATTGATGATATATTTCAACTTTATCTGCTTGCCTGTGTTGAGGACTTTGAAATTGAAGCAAGCGTTAATTATTGTCTAATTAAATGTCGTGCGTCGAGCGATAGCTTCTAATCATGTTTCGGTAATTATTTCGTAAAATCCCCACGACGGTAGCGTTGATTCTATTCAGGATGCGGATAGAGAGGTAAATCAATAAGGTAGACGCAAACTGGGTAGCACGTTACGTAAATGTTATTTCTCAACTCAGCTTGCTATGATAAAACAATAGCAAACAATATCATATATTTTTAGTAATACTTATATTTTTCGATTTTTTAACGCTACGATTAATTTAGTATTAAAAATAATCAAATCTTTATATGTATAGAAATTATTTCTTGAATAAAAGTATGTGATATGCAATATATATAATACTATTTAATATAAAACAATTTCGATTAAAATGCCATGAAATAAAATTCCATTATTCTGTCATATTTTTGTACAATAATGTAACATTTAATATAAAACATAATTTGCATATTTTAATTTTATTTCTAATTTTTTTTCTTTACTTATAATCGTATTAAAAACTATAATATATTTTGAATTATGAAATATTTTTTCAATTTGATAAATTATTTTAATAAGTTTATTAATTTTTCAGAGAGAAATATATAAAAGAAAATGTCATAAGAAAGTTATAAGACACTTATATGAAAAAAACGATAAAAAGAAACATTATATAAAGAATTTTATGATAAGAAAAAATGGATTAAATGGTATATAATAAATGGTTATAATAAATGAAATGCACTATTTTAATAATAAACTATAATCGAATATACTAACTGCTGTAGGTAACTACTATCTGCGGCCTCTCGTATCGAGAGTTCAAGAGAGAACTCGCGAGGAACATGCTGAATTAATAATAGTCCAATTAATAACTCCTCGAAACCCCTGATGTGGTCTTCCAATTAATCAACGATAACGTACGCCCCCCTCGAGAATATCGAATACTGGAGATTGCTATCAATTATTGAGCGTGATACAAAACATATATCTTTACTGATCGTAAGAATAACGAAAAAATCGTATTATTTGTCACTTTGCGTGCAATCTGTATCGAATTATCAATTACTTGATAATAATCTGTGCATTCGTTTAATCTTTATAATCCGATATAATCCTCGAGAATAAATTGTCGCTACTAATATAATTAATTTTCAAAAATATATTTTTAATTTTATTCTCTTCATAGAAAATATATTATACAATACTATATTTATACGAACTAGTTTGTATTAATTGTGTTCTTACACGGTCTAAAATATGATTCTTATTGGCTATATTTATACCAAATGATTTATACAAACTATAACTAAGGATATATAGTTTCCGTATAATCGGAAAGTTTCTTTTTTTTTTTCAACGATACTCAAGATTAATTTTCTATGTGGTTAAGACTTCCCATTGTAGGTTGTTATAAAGGTGAAAATGTAAAAATTCGTCGAGTTACTCGACAACCCGCTGGGAACAAAGGGTTAATTATTTTGTGGCGCGAAGTAAATTTACATTTTTTTCCTTTCACGTATACGAAAAGTGTCTGTGCTCTGTACATAAAATACTTAAAAAAATTTTTTTTGCTTTACCGAAGAGAAGATATAATTTATACGTCACTGTGCTTTTCGGCTAGATTGTTCATATTTTTGCAGATAAACGTTGGATATCATTTATCGGTCTGTGTGGCATTTGAAGTTATAATGACTTAGTGGTTACATTAATCACATTGCTAATTGCTAAATGTCAATGCAATAATAGAAATCTGCTCATCTGCGAACAAATAGCTATTCTAGTTTATGTTTTGTATATTTTTGTTTCTCTGTTAACTTTTTGAATATTCGAGCATAACGACGTCAGCAATTAGCAATGATTGGCATGTGCACGTTTGATGCAATCGTCAAAATCATTTATGACCCGAGGAAATCGGTGGCAATGCAATTCGGATCACAGAGGATTTGCGGATCTAATTGAAAAGGTTGACAATCACGCGGTGAGTTGCTACCATTTAGAGAAATGATCTGGATTTATAAACGAATAAAATGCAATGAATAATCGTCAAGGTCGTTTTATTAAAAAAGTAGTTTAATTTCGCAAATAACAACATTTTCAATTTATTTTTTCTTTTTTTTTTATGTGAAAAATTGTACTAATAAATAAAGAGCAAAAATTATCATTGTTAATACCCTAACCTCCCTTACATACATAATTAGAAATAATCTATTTTGTAGAACCGAGATCATGTTACTTCATGTAAGCATGAAAAGAAATATAGAGCGGTCGTTTTTTAATGTACATAGTACATTCACAGTATTTTCTCCAAATCGTTGCTATTTCACGTCTCTTTATCCTTTTGGCACTTGTTTGGAAATGACGGTTTTGAAAAAGCACCCCATCGCGCACGAAGGGAAGAGCCGCTCAAACAAAGTCCACCCGGCAGCGTGTTTTGTCTGCGTAATAACTTTTTCGTTGGGAGGTTAGCGGTTTTTAGCAGTGAGGGTTCGATTCGTGGCGAATATATTTTTCACGAGCGCGTTGTCTCGACGCCTCTCCTTTCTGCGGGGGATGGCCGCGGGGACAAAAACTATGGCTGGTGAATACAAGAGGAAACCCTCTGTAGGGATAGAAGAGCAAGAGTACGCAGAAGGGCGATATTACCCCAGCCAAAACAAACCTACTCGCGTAACCGTGGAAATTATCTTGGGCATACATTGCATCGCCAAGGTAATATCAAGCTTGATGTAATGGTTGCCACTCGTTGCGTATTAGTGGCTTCGAACAGTTATGTCGCCTTTATGTCTGTCCTGTTTTTACATGGCTTTTTTCTCAGGAGACACAATATCACGGTCGGTCATCGTTTCCTATCCGGATAAAACTTTTCGGTTGCTAAACAACCGCGTTCCTTGATTAGTTGAATCAAAAACATAGTTCGATCGCTGTTTTCGAATGACTGTAGATAGTTGTTGGAGACGATTAAAATTTTTTTCTCGGAAAAGAATATCTTGATGAACAAATATTTTAAGTCCTTATTAAAACGTTTCTAAACTGATACAG